CTGGGGGACCAAATGATCACTAGCAGTGACCTCGGGGCCCTCATTCGCCGAACACTTCCAAATGCGATGGGAAAGATCCTCAATGGCCCCAGAGCTGCAACGATCACACAAGCGATTGACTTGATACCCAACCTGATGGAGGCGCTCACGAGTCCACTGGCCCCCAGAGACCACGCAATTGTTCAGTGCCAGTGACGATATTTTTCCCGAAGCGAGGAACCTCCGCTGCTCTATCCTGATCATGGTCAGGTCGGCCCCGCAGGCGAGGGAGGCGCCGTGCTCGTGCGCCGCCGCCGTCGCCCAGAGCCTGCGCTGGAGGTCCTCCGCGAGATCGTCTAGGACGGACTCGTAGTCGAGGTAAACCAACTCTGCTCCGTCATCTGGGAGTGTCCATTGCTCCAAATATTCGTCGTGCGCTCGTTGCCAGCAGTCTGCCGCTTTGGGATCCCAGCCAGCTTCCAAGAGTGTAGCAATAGCGGCCCCAGTCGGGCCCGTGACACACGACCAGATCTGCGGGCCTGCAATGGTCAGCTTCGTCTTCAGTAGGGCCCACGTCCGTCGAATGCGCTGATGTAGGCGAGGCTGGTCTTGCCAAAATCTGATCCACTGTCGCAGAGACTGCGCCCGAAGCTGGACTCCAGGATCCGCTCCGTCGAACGTGGAGCCAAGTAGCGTGGTTAAGCAGCGCCCCGCAGCTTGACCCGTGGCGGCTGCTGCTGCCTGCCTCCTCCATCTCAACAGTGCGTGCCGAGCCAATCCTCGAACTTGATGGCCATAGACTCCCTGAGGCAAGGCGCCTGTGGCCCAGAGGCCCTTGGCTATACGTGCCTGCTGAGCTGTGTTGCGCATCTTCACTATGCGCTTGGTCCTGGTAGTAGCCGCTCGAGCCCGTTCACCAGCTTTCTTCTGGACTCTGCGCGTACCAGCTGCCATGTCGATGCCCAAGTCGGTGGCCGTCGTCGTAGCCGAGACAGGCACTCCGCGGCGTCGAAGATTGCGCTCCAGCTTCACGCGCACTTGCTTGTTGTTGGAGAGGACGACAGTCTTGTCGGAGACAAGGAGCTCAGCATGATCCAGAGCAGCCTTCAATTCGGCTCCCGCCCTGGTCAATCGCTGTAACACTGGAACTGCCGTGCCTTCCGATCTTGCCACCGTGTCATCCACAAAGGTCCACATCGTAGCTCCCTCCGCCCGTCGCTGGGCGTGCGTGAGGATGGGGGGCAAGAACAGCCTCGCCAGTATGACACCACGAGGGGAGCCCGCAACAATTCCTTGGAGAGCGTAGATGGGCTCAGCGGTCCAGCCCTGTGCTCGCAGAGTCCTGGGGCTAAGAAAGAGCTGGACCTCCAACAGGAGGCATATGGCAGGAAACTCCTCATCCAATCCAACCTCGATGAGCCTAGCCAACTTTACATGGTCATAGAACTTCGCCAGGTCCATTAGTAGGGTGCCAACTGTCAAGCCCATGGTGACAGCCGGCTCGTCTAGAAAAGCTCGATGCAGCGCTGCAGAGAGGGCCGATGAGCCTTTCATCGCAGTACACCAGAAGTCATGCAATCCATCACTCCACATATCTGAAGCGGCTCCTCTGATACGACACCAGGTGCGGGCAATGTGAGGGAGAACACCTAGTACTCTATCACCTCCTGCTTTCTTCGGCGCCATGGCCGCCAGAGTGGCCATGACCTGAGGTGGCCAGACACCTTGAGTCTCGATGACATTGAGCATGTCAGTGTACTGCTGAAGGGCCACCTCAGGTAGACGCAGCATATCCCGTGGCCCAATCATGTCCACACCCTTCGCCTTGGAGCCTGGCATGATAGACAGGGTGCGCTTCAGCTGCTCCAGTTCGATGGCACCAGGGGGCTCCTCCCTAATCCGACGACGAGCCTTATCCAGAGCATCCAGAATCTGCTGCTTGGTCTCGCGAGGTGTCCAAACCTTCTCCCACTCCTGCCGCTTCGCATCCATGATCAGGTTCGGGTTGGAAGCCGTCGTGCCACTGATGTAGATCTCGAGCCGCTGTTGCTCCTGCGGCTTGACCTGTCGATGCAGGACACCAGGCTTCGCCTTCCACATGTCGGCCAGCCAACCCGAGTACTTCTTCTTGGACTGGCACGAGGCATGAGCGGCAGCGCGGCCTGACCAAGCCTCAGTGCGGCATATGAGTTCAGATCGTTCCTCGTCATCCAGGATCGTGATGGTGCGTACTAGCTCAGACCATCTGAATACCTCATCCTCCTCAACCTTCGGCAGCAGTAAGTCTCGCTTCCCGTGGAAGCCCGTGACCCTCAGCTGCAATAGGGCGAGGTTGGAGCTTACGAGGTTCTCATGCTTCTGATGCTTGCACAGCGCGATAATCTTCTTAACCAGTGTCAAGGTAATAGCCCACCATTCTGCAGGCTCGTGCTTTATATGAGTACGTCCAGGGCAAGCCGCAGTCTTCTTCCATTGGAAGTGAACCCCATTTGCTCTACCAGAGTAGGCGGCTTGCTTCGCTACAGGAACCGCATGATGATTCAAAACCGTTGCCTCGAAGGTCGACATCCACTTGGCATAGTGGGTCGAAACAAGCGTGGTCGCCTCAGGGCCCCTCTCATGCAGAAAGTGAGGAGGTAGACCCCAAGATAGCTCAGAAGGCCTCAGTTGGGTCGCATTCATCCTGCCCGCAGCTCCAGCAGTACAGGCCCCGACCTTGTCGTGCAGCTCTAAGGGGGGCGAGCGCGCTCCCACGATTTGAGGCCCGTGGCCACCCGCATGGGCTCTTGGGGCCCCCGCCCCCCTTGATAACATACCATCCAACTCCTGAACCATCCCACGAGAGACCAATGGGGCCCCCTCCAGCAGGCGAGTCCTCCCTGGCGGGTGCTGCGAACCTGCCTTCTCTGGGGGCCCAGCCGTGTCGTAGGTGTTCAGCGCGTCATTGACGTCGAGAGTGCTCCACTTGTCTCTCGAGGGATCCGTCGCGTGCATGGCAGTACCTCTAACAACTCCATCCGCGCCAGTCCCACCGTTGTCGAGCAGCTCCGAGGGGGGCGAGCACGCTCCCACGATTTGAGGCCCGTGGCCACCCGTATGGGCTCTTGGGGCCCCCGCCCCCCTTAATGGCATGCCATCGATCTCCTCGACCGTCCCACAATAAACAGCTGGGGCCCCCTCCAGTTGGCGAGTCTTCCCTGGCGGGCGCTGCGAGCCTGCCTTCTCTGGGGGCCCCTGCGTGTCGTAGGTGCCCAGCGTGCCATTCTCGTCGGGAGTGCTCAGCGTGCTCCTCACGTCGTCCTGATGCCGCCTCCAGAGATCCAGGGGAATGGCAAAATCGACGCCGTCCACATAGTCAACATCCGTTGCAACCAAGACTGGAGGCGCTGCTGCATCCTCCTGTGACTGGGTGAACTCATCAAACACCTCCTGCAACGTGTCAGGCAACTGGTTGCGCCTCTTGTCTAGCGCTGCCTTCTTCCTCAATGATGTCTCACTGTTGGGGTCCGCCTGTCTCTGCGGCCTGGGGGGGCAAGGCAAATCTGCAGGGGGTGCCAGAGCACGAAAGCGCCAGGGCTGGGACTCGCCCGCGCAGACCTCCAGGCCGCAGTGCGTTCCCCATGGTACATCGCGCACCTGGCGAATGACCGCAGACATCTCCCAGCCGCGCTTCACCACCGCGTAGTCAATGGTCGAGCCCAAGCCTTTATCACAGGTTGCAGAACCAGGGGCCGCCAGAATGGAGTAAGAAAAAAACCCCCCCCCCCCCCCCACAACAGCCACCCCACTCCTCAGGGTAGCCGCTGTCAGAGCCAGTTGAAACACGGCGGACATATTCGCATCTGCTATGACAATCCAAGGGTCCGCCAGCATGTCCAGAAAAAAAAAAAAAAAAAAAAAAAAAAAAAAAACCAAAAAAAAAAAGAAAAAAAAAAAAAAAAATCAAAAGCGGTGAGTGCAACAATCCGCTCGTGGAACTGGGCCCTTAAATCGAGTGGTGTGCGGTTCGATATAAAAGGCTAAATCCGACCACATTGCCTGTCTTGCGATGCCGCGTCATCGGGGCGAATGCCATGACACGATCAATCAATGCATACAGACTGAAACGTCTTCGGGGTCTCATAGCGTCGAAAGGTGATGCGCCACCGACTTGCGAAGCTAGCACCATCTCTCCGCCGTCGTGCCCTATGAGATCGACCCGTCGGCATTGCATAACATTTGGAGGATCTCCAATCATCCTTGTCGATCTTAAGAAACTCATGCTGCTGTTTGGCCTGCGAGATATGTGTCTCGACCAAAGCCAGTAGCTGATGGCGCTTGCCAGTGGGCGCCACCCACCGCTCAGCCTGAGGGCCCCATTCAGTGATGTTCGAGAAGAACAACTGGGCCTCTTCCACAGTCGGCTGAGCGGCGACGGGGCTGGCCTCATTACCCCCGCTCTGGCTGAGCAGGGGCACCAGCGCCAGCAGCCAAGCCAGCGGCCTTGGTCTTGGAGGTCTCGGCAGCCTGGCGCAGCGAGTCTTCGGAGAGCGACTTGAGCCACTCGCCGTCCAGCGGGGGCTGAGGGGGCACGGGCGCTGGGGCGGTAGCAGCACCTGGGGTCGCAGGCATGGCAGGTGGGGCGCCAGCGCCGCCGCCGCGGCCTGCCTCGACCGATGGCGCCTCATCGCCTCCCTCATGGCGCCTCCTCTTGGCGACGCGCTCCTGGTCGAAGCGCTTGATGGACTCCATGAGGTCCTGGAGCTTCTGCACCGCCGACTCGAGCTGTGGCCTGGCGGTGTCGAACTCCTTCTTGTACTCCATGAAAGTCTTGCGCTCGTTCTCGCCCATGTCCGCAGGGTCTGCGGTCTCGAAAATGGGGCGGAGGAGGAGGAGGAGGAGGAGGAGGAGGAGGAAGGGGAGGACGAGGGGCCTGGAGCAGTGGCGCCCAGCAGCTCCACCAGGGGGGGCGGGGGGCGGCGGTGGGCCCCCCGCGTGCGGCGCGGCGCCGGCGCCCCCCCCTTGCCCTCGTGGCCCGCGAGGCGGGCGCCAAGGGCCGCAGGGGCGGCGGCGGCCTGCCGGAGAGAGGCGCCGCGCCCTCCCCCCCCCGCCGCCCCCCGCCCCCCCTGGTGGAGCTGCTGGGCGCCACTGCTCCAGGCCCCTCGTCCTCCCCTTCCTCCTCCTCCTCCTCCTCCTCCTCCTCCTCCGCCCCATTTTCGAGACCGCAGACCCTGCGGACATGGGCGAGAACGAGCGCAAGACTTTCATGGAGTACAAGAAGGAGTTCGACACCGCCAGGCCACAGCTCGAGTCGGCGGTGCAGAAGCTCCAGGACCTCATGGAGTCCATCAAGCGCTTCGACCAGGAACGCGTCGCCAAGAGGAGGCGCCATGAGGGAGGCGATGAGGCGCCATCGGTCGAGGCAGGCCGCGGCGGCGGCGCTGGCGCCCCACCTGCCATGCCTGCGACCCCAGGTGCTGCTACCGCCCCAGCGCCCGTGCCCTCAGCCCCCGCTGGACGGCGAGTGGCCCAAGTCGCTCTCCGAAGACTCGCTGCGCCAGGCTGCCGAGACCTCCAAGACCAAGGCCGCTGGCTTGGCTGCTGGCGCTGGTGCTCCTGCTCAGCCAGAGCGGGGGTAATGAGGCCAGCCCCGTCGCCGCTCAGCCGACTGTGGAAGAGGCCCAGCTGTTCTTCTCGAACATCACTGAATGGGGCCCTCAGGCTGAGCGGGTGGTGGCGTCCACTGGCAAGCGCTATCAGCTACTGGCTTTGGTCGAGACACATATCTCGCAGGCCAAACAGCAGCATGAGTTTCTTAAGATCGACAAGGATGATTGGAGATCCTCCAAATGTTATGCAATGCCGACGGGTCGATCTGCAGAGGGCACGACGGGCGGAGAGATGGTTCTAGCTCGCAAGTCGGTGGCTGCATCCACCTTCGACGCTATGAGACACCCGAGCCGTCAGTTGTATGCAGTTGATCCGTGTCATGGCTTCGCCCCGATGACGCGGCATCGCAAGACAGGCAATTTGGTCGTGATAGCCTTTTATATCGAACCGCACCACTCGATTACGGGCCCAGTTCACGAGCGGATGGTTGCACTCACCGCTTTCTTGGACATGCTGGCGGACCCTTGGATTGTCCTAGCAGATTGGAATATGTCGCCGTGTCAACTGGCTGACAGCGGCTACCCTGAGGAGTGGGGTGGCTCCATTCTGGTGGCCCCTGGTTCTGCAACCTGTGAAAAAGGCTTGGGCTCGACCATTGACTACGCGGTGGTGAAGCGCGGCTGGGAGATGTCTGTGGTCATTCGCCAGGTGCGCGATGTACCATGGGGAACGCACTGCGGCCTGGAGGTCTGCGCGGGCGAGTCCCAGCCCTGGCGCTTTCGTGCTCTGGCACTCCCTGCAGATTTGCCTTGCCCCCCCAGGCCGCAGAGACAGGCGGGCCCCAACAGTAAGACATCATTGAGGAAGAAGGCAGCGCTAGACCAGAGGCGCAACCAGTTGCCTGACACGTTGCAGGAGGTGTTTGATGAGTTCACCCAGTCACAGGAGGATGCAGCAGCGCCTCCAGTCTTGGTTGCAACGGATGTTGACTATGTGGACGGCGTCGATTTTGCCATTCCCCTGGATCTCTGGAGGCGGCATCAGGACGACGTGAGGAGCACGCTGAGCACTCCCGACGAGAATGGCTGGATCCTCTTCTGGCACCTCCACACGCAAGTCCATGGCAGCCATATTCATCGCAGTCGCCCCGCCAGGAAGAACTCGCCAACTGAGGGGGCCCCAGCTGTCTATTGTGGGACGGTCGAGGAGATCGATGGCATGCCATTAAGGGGGGCGGGGGCCCCAAGAGCCCATACGGGTGGCCACGGGCCTCAAATCGTGGGAGCGTGCTCGCCCCCCTCGGAGCTGCTCGACAACGTTGGGACTGGCGCGGATGGAGTTGTTAGAGATACTGCCATGCACGCGACGGATCCCTCGAGAGACAAGTGGAGCACTCTCGACGTCAATGACGCGCTGAACACCTACGACACGGCTGGGCCCCCAGAGAAGGCAGGTTCGCAGCACCCGCCAGGGAGGACTCGCCTGCTGGAGGGGGCCCCATTGGTCTCTCGTGGGATGGTTCAGGAGTTGGATGGTATGTTATCAAGGGGGGCGGGGGCCCCAAGAGCCCATGCGGGTGGCCACGGGCCTCAAATCGTGGGAGCGCGCTCGCCCCCCTTAGAGCTGCACGACAAGGTCGGGGCCTGTACTGCTGGAGCTGCGGGCAGGATGAATGCGACCCAACTGAGGCCTTCTGAGCTATCTTGGGGTCTACCTCCTCACTTTCTGCATGAGAGGGGCCCTGAGGCGACCACGCTTGTTTCGACCCACTATGCCAAGTGAATGTCCGAACCTTCGGGCAACGGTTTTGAATCATCAGCGGTTCCTGTAGCGAAGCACGCCGCCTACTCTGGTAGAGCAAATGGGGTTCCTTCCAATGAGAAAGCCTGCGGCTTGCCCTGGACTTACTCCTATAAAATCACAGCCTGTCAGAATGGTGCTATTGACCTTGACACTGGTTAAGAGATTATCGCGCTGTGTCAAGCATCAGAAGGCATGAGAACCTCCGTAAGGCTCCAACCTCGCGCTATTGCAGCTGAGGGTCACGGACTTCCACGGGAAGAGAGACTTACTGCTGCCGAAGGTCGAGGAGGATGAGGTATTCAGATGGTCTGAGCTGGTACGCACCATCACGATCCTGGATGACGAGGAACGATCTGAACTCATATGCCGCACTGAGGCTTGGTCAGGCCGCGCGGCCGCTCATGCCGCGTACCAGTCCAAGAAGAAGTACTCGGGTTGGCTCGCCGACATGCGGAAGGCGAAGCCTGGAGTCCTGCATCGACAGGTCAAGCCGCAGGAGCAACAGCGGCTCGAGATCTACATCAGTGGCACGACGGTCTCCAACCCGAACCTCCAACCCGAACCTGATCATGGATGCGAAGCGGCAGGAGTGGGAGAAGGTTTGGACACCTCGCGAGACCAAGCAGCAGATTCTGGATGCTCTGGATAAGGCTCGTCGTCGGATTAGGGAGGAGCCCCCTGGTGCCATCGAACTGGAGCAGCTGAAGCGCACCCTGTCTATCATGCCAGGCTCCAAGGCGAAGGGTGTGGACATGATTGGGCCACGGGATATGCTGCGTCTACCTGAGGTGGCCCTTCAGCAGTACACTGACATGCTCAATGTCATCGAGACTCAAGGTGTCTGGCCACCTCAGGTCATGGCCACTCTGGCGGCCATGGCGCCGAAGAAAGCAGGAGGTGATAGAGTACTAGGTGTTCTCCCTCACATTGCCCGCACCTGGTGTCGTATCAGAGGAGCCGCTTCAGATATGTGGAGTGATGGATTGCATGACTTCTGGTGTACTGCGATGAAAGGCTCATCGGCCCTCTCTGCAGCGCTGCATCGAGCTTTTCTAGACGAGCCGGCTGTCACCATGGGCTTGACAGTTGGCACCCTACTAATGGACCTGGCGAAGTTCTATGACCATGTAAAGTTGGCTAGGCTCATCGAGGTTGGATTGGATGAGGAGTTTCCTGCCATATGCCTCCTGTTGGAGGTCCAGCTCTTTCTTAGCCCCAGGACTCTGCGAGCACAGGGCTGGACCGCTGAGCCCATCTACGCTCTCCAAGGAATTGTTGCGGGCTCCCCTCGTGGTGTCATACTGGCGAGGCTGTTCTTGCCCCCCATCCTCACGCACGCCCAGCGACGGGCGGAGGGAGCTACGATGTGGACCTTTGTGGATGACACGGTGGCAAGATCGGAAGGCACGGCAGTTCCAGTGTTACAGCGATTGACCAGGGCGGGAGCCGAATTGAAGGCTGCTCTGGATCATGCTGAGCTCCTTGTCTCCGACAAGACTGTCGTCCTCTCCAACAACAAGCAAGTGCGCGTGAAGCTGGAGCGCAATCTTCGACGCCGCGGAGTGCCTGTCTCGGCTACGACGACGGCCACCGACTTGGGCATCGACATGGCAGCTGGTACGCGCAGAGTCCAGAAGAAAGCTGGTGAACGGGCTCGAGCGGCTACTACCAGGACCAAGCGCATAGTGAAGATGCGCAACACAGCTCAGCAGGCACGTATAGCCAAGGGCCTCTGGGCCACAGGCGCCTTGCCTCAGGGAGTCTATGGCCATCAGTTCGAGGATTGGCTCGGCACGCGCTGTTGAGATGGAGGAGGCAGGCAGCAGCAGCCGCCACGGGTCAAGCTGCGGGGCGCTGCTTAACCACGCTACTTGGCTCCACGTTCGACGGAGCGGATCCTGGAGTCCAGCTTCGGGCGCAGTCTTTGCGACAGTGGATCAGATTTTGGCAAGACCAGCCTCGCCTACATCAGCGCATTCGACGGACGTGGGCCCTACTGAAGACGAAGTTGACCATTGCAGGCCCGAAGATCTGGTCGTATGTCACGGGCCCGACTGGGGCCGCTATTGCTACACTCTTGGAAGCTGGCTGGGATCCCAAAGCGGCTGACTGCTGGCAACGAGCGCACGACGAATATTTGGAGCAATGGACACTCCCAGATGACGGAGCAGAGTTGGTTTACCTCGACTACGAGTCCGTCCTAGACGATCTCGCGGAGGACCTCCAGCGCAGGCTCTGGGCGACGGCGGCGGCGCACGAGCACGGCGCCTCCCTCGCTTGCGGGGCCGACCTGACCATGATCAGGATAGAGCAGCGGAGGTTTCTCGCTTCGGGAAAAATATCGTCTTGGGCATTGAACAATTGCGTGGTCTCTGGGGGCCAGTGGACTCGTGAGCGCCTCCATCAGTCAGGGTATCAAGTCAATCGGTTGTGTGATCGTTGCAGCTCTGAGGCCATCGAGGATCTTCCCCATCGCATTTGGAAGTGCTCGGCGAATGGGGGCCCCGAGGTCACAGCTAGTGATCATTTGGCCCCCCAGGCCCTGGCGGGCTTGGAGCAGGATCCCGCCCTTTGGCTTAGAGGTGTGCCCAGTCTCTCCTCCACTACTCCCTCCTTTGCCAAGTGGGACGGGGGTGGGGTGGAGGTGGTGGGTCCTGATTATGAAGGTAAGCCCC